AGTCAGTACTCGCTCGTGAGAATAACGACAATATTGTATATTGTATACGCAAAGACGTGTTGTATATGAATTAGGACCTGATCACCCTTTATATACTAGGGTGTGTCCATTGCCCAAGTAGAGTCCTGGCTAGAGAAGAGATCTAATCATATTCACTTTCCTAGCATATCATGTTTATAGAATCTCATACTCCTAATCGATATACATTTTTCTTTAATAGAGGATTTTTCCCATCTTACCATACGGCGCTTAAGTCCTTGGTCGTCTGAACTACCTCACAACCTACGACAGACTATAACTGGGACCACGACCTCTACATTTACGACCTCCGAGTGATAAGGTCTTCTTGTCTACAAGCCAACCTACAAGCCCTCTAATCAAGTCGATCCGTGCCCTGAGCTGCATGCGCGAGCTCCTTGACGAGGTTGAGCACTGCAACCGAGCTAAAGCTCCATTGGACCAACCGTATCCAAGCTAACCACTTAGGCCATTCCATCAATTTGTTCCATCATGTTGTGTCATGCCTCTCATCAGGGCCGGCCCTGGGGCAGGGCCAGCGGGGCGACCGCCCAAGGCCCACCCAGGGCCCACAAATTTGAGGCACCAAAGTGGAGATAATGACCCATTATGATTAGTTAAATATTTTATTTATGTTTCTTTAATCTCTTATTTTTCTTAATTTTTCCCACCAAAGTGATTAATCTTATGGTTATTATGTTTGGGCCTTAAAATAAAATAGGGCCTTAAAATGTCACATGAATAATCACTACACATGGTTATTATGTTTGGGCTTTTTAGTTTAGTATTTTACTATTAACCAACTATTTTAAACTATGTTAATTAGTATTTTACAACTTTGTTACGGCTTGTATAGGTATGAGGTTTGTATATGAATTGTGTAGCCTAGCCGGCTAAAGACTTGTTTCGAACAGTTGTATCCAACTTTTATATTAAATTCTTAAAAAAATTAATCAGTTTTGCCACATTTATTTATCAGTTGACTTATTACATGTGTTGAGTGTTGGCAAAAATATTAAATTGCTCAATTTTAATTATGTTATTCTCTTTTCCGTCAAATTCGCCACATTTTTTCTCTTATAATGTATTATTCTATTTTCAATGTAATAGAAAGGAATAACAAATTTTTATTATGAGTTACTTACATATATTTAATTATTAGTTATTATTAGTAAATAATTTATTTTTATCTTACATTTATTATAATTTTTATATTTTCATTATATATCTATATATATATATATATATAAAGAGAAAGTTTTAAAAAAATAGTAACAAAAATAGACTGGAACATTTATTGTATAG